TGGTTCCTAGAATTTCTAAAAGTAGAATGGGAGGCAGATCTTTTAGTTATCAGGCTCCTCTCCTGTGGAACCAACTACCAGTTTTAGTCCGTGAGGCAGACACCCTGTCTACTTTTAAGGCTAGGCTTAAAACTTTCCTTTTTGATAAAGCTTATAGTTAGAGTGGCTCAGGTTATCCTGAGCTATCTCTATAGTTATGCTGCTATAGGCTTAGACTTTTGGAGGACATAGGGACCCCCATTTCATCATTCTGCTTCATTCTCTCTCTGTTCTCCTATTCTGCAGAATCTGTTAGTTCAATCTCTAACCTTCTGCTCTCTCTGCTTTTCCTCAGAGTAGCTTTGCCTCGTCTGTTCCTGTTTGGCTGTGACGTCATCCTGGAAAGAAACATCAGCTGTGCTGCTTCTATCAACACCCTTGTTTATAGATGTTGGAGATCGGCCTGTTTTCCAGTGTGGTCCTGTTTCTCTGACCGTGACTGAGTGGATGTGCTTTCTTCGTCCTCTGGCATGGGAGCTGCCTTGGAGCTCGTCTGCCTGGCTGTGTGTTTCCTGGACGGGGCCGCCTTTTACAGCTGCTTTTTGTATCTCTGCTTCTGTCTCCTTGAACCCCAGTCGGCCTCGGCAGATGGCCGCTCACACTGAGCCTGGTTCTGCTGGAGGTTTCTTCCTGTTAAAAGGGAGTTTTTCCTCTCCACTGTCGCTACAAGCATGCTTAGTGTGGGGGATTGTATTTGAGTCAATGAGTCAATGCAATCAACTGGTTTTCCTTAGATAGAAAACTTTGTATCAATTTGATCTGGTTGAACTGTAAAGTGCCTTGAGATGACATGTGTTGTGAATTTGGCGCTATATAAATAAACTGAATTGAATTGAATTGAATTAAACGTGGCAACAATATTTACAGGGACCAAAACACTTTTTCTCTCACAGCTTGTTTAAATGCAAAGGTCTTTCTTTGCATTGTGGCTGAAGGAAAAACCCACCACACTGAGCAGCTTCTGATAAAGAGTCTTACTTTCTAATTACAGAGATTCCGCTTAACTACACCAGATGAAATACACTAAAGCTCTCATGAGTCTCTGCTGGGTTTCTGAGTATACAGCTAAATGAGGAACTAACACAGAGGGCCTATGCTTATGGACTAAACTGTACTTCCTCATTCTCGAGTATTAAATACAGTTAAGTCTTATTAAAGGGTAAATATCCCATTTCTTACCACAGTTTGAGGTTTGCTGAGCGCCATGTGAGCATGGACAACCTCAAGAATGTGTGACGTGATTTCATTCATGTCCTCCAGCGGCCTGACACTGAATGCTACAATAGATCTGTGGTTCTAGGAAAGGAAGAGAAACAACTTTAGCTTAGAATAATTAACATGGCTATAAAATAAACTGTTTCCTCATGTCAACGAACATCATAAATACTTTTACTAGTATTAAACAAATGTCTGTCTGTTGATGCAGATGAAACTTCTTATCTGGCAGGTTAAATGTGGTTAACTTTGAATGAGGCTTAATTTTGTCCAACTTACCTGAAAGGAGCGCAGATTTCCTGATACTTTGACATATGTTCCTGGGGGCAACACAGTGCTGTCAACACTAGGGTCCTAGAAAGGAGAAAAAAAAACATAAATAAAGCAAGGGAAAAAAAGGTATTCTAATGAGGTTGTCTAACCAAGTGAAATTTGAAAGCAGATGATACCTTATTTATTTATTTATTTTTTTGTAATTCCCATTTAGTTTAAAAATATAAGAAATAATATGACCCATTATAATTTGGCACCTCTCATAAGATAATATAAACACTGTCTATTAAAATAGACTCCAGTTTTACAGAGAAGTCTAAATAGACTCTTAATGGAAATTTGGAGCATTTAATTTTTTTTCAGGAGGAAATAATAATACAAGAAATATATTTTCCAAAATTATGACTACTTTGTTAAAACACAGCTTTGACTTTGTAGTGTGTTTTCCCTTAATGTGTAATATGATCTAAGTTTCAAATAAAAGCACAAATAATACACATAAATACGAGCCAAATAATTTATTGAGTAAAATGTCTTTCTGAAACACTCTGAATATTTTATCATTTTCTGGTTCATCCATGAACCCAACTTCCTTTTGAAGTTGGGTTTAGGACAGATACTTACAACTTGATAGTTCAAACAGGACAAAAATCCTTAAATACACCCAACAATGGTTTTACAATAGGTGAAGAAGCCAATATTTTAAAAAAAGTTTTTAATTTTTGCTTGTATTTTGAAAACAAGAAAGGTAAGATTATCTGTCATCAGGTCATACAAATGTGCTGAATGCATGAGGACCTCAGAAAATCCACAGCAATGCACAACTTTTAAAACTTGTAAAACCCAAAAATGTTCATGTTGATGATAAGCACAAGTAAGTGTCTCACCAAAACTGTAGAAAACAACCACATACCTCGGTGTCTACCCACTGCTTCACGTCCATAGGAGCACCTGTCATGTCGTCCACCTTGTACTGGATGTTGGTCATAGATTTATCTGTGCTTCTTATGATGCCCACAATGGTGACCTAGAAAAAAAACGTTCATCATCGTGTGTTCATGGTTATAAGTATTCAATGTAAAAATAACGACAACCCCAAAAGTAATCTATCAAGTTATAGCAGCTGTGGGGTGCATGCTGTGGATCCACGCACTCCTCTGGATCAACGTACCTGCGTCACTTCCACTTCTCCCACTCTGAAGGTCTCTTCTGTCTGAGAGGCAGACATCAGCTGGGACACAGTGCAGGGGATGATTTGTGTAGCACGGGTCCTCTAATTTGACAAATGAAAAAGATTATATCAAATTTAATGCCCTATAAAAAGAGATTGTAGTCCATTCTTTCAGACATAACGCCACGAAAACACAAATATTTATAAACACACTCACATATGAGAAAGGCTTATACACATGGGAACAGCAGCATAAGGTGGTTAATTACCCTACATTACAGTAGCTCAGCCTTCTTAGTTTAAGAGGTCATCTCTAGTGTTTTCTGTAGTGTTAAACTCTTCAACATAATAATAATAATAACTGACCCCTTTCTTCTCTACTCCCTGGGACAATGCTGGGGATGCAAAACCTCCAGGAGATTGAGTATAACCCCCGACCATCGCAGAGTCAGTGTATCCCCCTGAAAATACAAACACGTTGGCGTTTTTCATTAGTTTGCATGCTATATTTATAAAAAAGAGAACATTTTAACCAATAGTAGCTCAGCTAACATCAAAGGTGCACGCCGAGTTCAAGCTAACGTTGACGACAGTTAGGGTAACAACTGCAAAACAGACGCTTTCAAAATACTCAACAATATGGGAAGTGAACTCACCCTGATTCCACATACCGACACTATGGATATAAGTTATTAAAAATAAACGTAAATGTTATTAACTTTGATAAACGGGGTCGAGGGCTGCGGATAGCAATTGTTATCCTTCTTCTGCAGTCCCGCGCTTAACTCAATGTAAGGCGCATGCGCACAGACTAAATCCCGCGAAACAGGCAAATGTGGGTTCGATTTTGCCCTGATCATTGTTTGTCAGAACCACAGCTACAATATATACATTCTAAGACAAACAGTTCAGGGACATAACTACTGAGATGTGTTCAATGTAAGGCTTATTCAGTGCGTTTCTACTGCAGAAAGTAAACAGAATCCTTACGCATAATGAACCTGGAAGACATTAATCAGGGCAAAAATAACAATATTAGACTGCGAGAACTTATGCATATTGTAAATACCAAGCCTAAACTACACATTCACACACTAGATGATAGATAGATAGATAGATAGATAGATAGATAGATAGATAGATAGATAGATAGATAGATAGATAGATAGATAGATAGATAGATATTCATGAAACCCTTGCTGATAAAGCTCACAAATATTTATACATGAGTGCTATTTAAATAGATTCATGGCTCTGTATTGGATATACTTTAAATGGGTTGAGCAGCTGTTCTTAATAGACCCCTATAAAACATAAACACAAATTCTTAAAAGGGTATGAATTCTCTATTAGTCCTTATTATATTGTGATTATTTAATTCTTGTATTTTTGCTATTGTTTGTTTATGTTAATATACTAGAATGTTAGGACATTTCGAATGATGGTATAGAATAGAATAGAAAATCTCTTTATTGTCCCACAATGGAGAAATTTACAGCAGGAAAAAGATTATAGGAAAAAAAATGGTCACACAAATATGGACCTTACAAAAATGTATAAGGATAACATAATAGTGAAGAGTTAAAGATAAACAATAAAATACTGTGCTGTAAAGTGTTTTAACAGTATCACTACCAACCTCTTGTTTAGAGGAGAACTTCTTATTCCAGATGTGGTGAATTACATCCATATTGGAGCAACAAATAACTTGGTAGGTTTGACTTAAGTTCATGTCAAGGGTGAAACTGTTGTAACCATGAAACTTTAGTTTTTGTTACTTAAAAGTTAAAATACTGCTTATCTTTTCTTTTCTTTCCATAAATAGATCTGTAGGTTGCGCCAGGTGTTATCCCTGATAAGTTTCATTGCCGTGATGCCAGTAAAGGATTTTATCTAATACAGTAAATAGTGTAAATAAAAGGTGGGAAGGAATTTACCATTAAATATTTCAAGAATGGATAGAAAAGAGCGAAATGCTGGAATTTTCAAGAATGTCAGTACATTTTAAATTTTTAATTCAATAAAATAGTAGTCACCCCTGATACATTTATTGTCATAATCAAAATGTTAAAGGCTCAAAAGAATAAAAGTATATCTGAGCTATTATTTATAGGTTATATTGTGTCTATATCTGGAAAAAAAAATGTTACATAGTAGACTATATTTTTAAAAAGTTGAATGTCTGGCCTGCATTTAAGGTCATAAGTTGAATGTATGACCTCACCCAACTGGGTTTATCTTTAGCCCATATAAAAATAGTTATGTGCAGTGAGTTGACTGCTTTACTCCCTCCCCATGATTATTTGGAGTTCTTTAACAAACTATTTGTTGATACTGTCTGTAATATCAGAAAGCCCAACACCATCAGTTTATTTTCTTCTTAATTGCGCATTTTCTTCTTAAATGCGCAAAGTATGCGCAATGCAGGAAAGGCTCTGATTATTTACCATCTGAATTTATCAGCAGAGATTTAGTGAACACATTTCAAGGCAATGAGGCGTCAATAATTGCTGCAGATATCTTATCTTATTTGCCTTCACGAACTTTCCTCTCAAAGCTCTCCCTTTCACAGAGTCCAACATGTTGTCCGTAAGGTTGCTCTTCTCCTGCCTCTTCTTTGGTGAAGCTCTTGCGTTGTCAGGTAAGAAAAAAAAAGTCATTGTTCAGTTTTATGCATTCATTTCGGTCTCGAGTGACCTTAAAATAACGCCTTACTTTGCGTAATAACGCGTTGCTTTCATCCAGGGAGCTTTTGGCATATCACGGATTTGCACTGGGATCCGACGTACAAACTAACGGATAATCCGGAGACAGTGTGCGCATCCAGTGGTAAACGACCAGCGCTCGGTGCTGGTAAATTTGGAGACTATGCTTGTGATGCGCCATGGCAGCTGATCAACTCCTCGGTGTACGCCATGAAGAAGATTCTGCCAGATCCAGACTTCATTGTGTGGACAGGGTAGGCTATATATCCTCCGTAAAGCATAAATAAATTTTCCTTTCATATAAAAGCACAAATACAGTAAAAGGAAACAACAAATCTTTAAAGTAATTTGTCCAGCAACTGTTATGATTTAGGAGAACTGTTACTATTTATAGTTTTTGTCCCCTGCACCAAGCAGAAATCCGCAGCTTTAGCTGAAGTCCACTTCCCTGCGTTTAGATTGCCCACAAGCTCCTGATTGGTCCACTGACTTTTCTTGTGTAAATTGAAGTCATTTCTGTCACTACTGAGAAGCTCACTTTACAAACATCTGATGCGCCATCTAATCATGATGAAATTGATGAATCATATCAATTGGATGGTCAAACAAGCTTAAGTTAGTTATATAAAAAAAAATACTTGCATCCCCCCTACTTTAGGTATTTTGCATAATATTCCAGCTGAGTTTTAAACAGTTCTAAAATATAAAACTTTAAAATACAAATGCTCAAAGTCTAGTCTTTAATGAAAAATAAAACTCAACACAAAAATAAATGCAAATCCGTCTTTCATGTCGCCCAGGGCAGAAAACCCTATAACCATTTTCAAAAACCATCACAACACTTTTGTATAACACAACCACTTCCCTTTTTAATCCTTTAAAAATTTGTTACTTTTAAACCTTACAGGGATGACACACCACATGTCCCAAATGATGATCTAGGAGAAGAGGCTGTGATCAACATAATAGGAAACCTCACTCAGATCATAAGCCAGGTGTTTCCACGTAAGTGCAACTTCAAGTGACATAAAATGAGCCTTAAGTAGAAGCCAATTGAGGTAATCAGCAGTTATCTATAAAAATTGATAAATTTAACAGCCAATTCTTTTTTATTGTGTTTTTTTTTAGATACTAAAGTGTATTCTGCACTGGGGAACCATGACTACCACCCTAAGAGTCAGCTTCCTCCAGGCCCAAACTCCATCTACAACAAAATAGCAGAAATGTGGCATAACTGGCTGGAGCCAGCTTCCAAGGAAACCTTTAAAAATGGTGACACACACATTTTCCAAAGAACTGAAATCTTTTTAACCAACATCTGCTTGACAAATTAGACACGTAATATTTTTGCCTAGGTGGATACTACACTGAAAAACTCCTAAACCGAGCAGGTTACAGGATACTGGTCCTCAACACCAACCTCTACTACAACCAGAACAATGTGACCCTGAACGATGAAGATCCAGCAAGCCAGTTTAGCTGGTTGGATCAGACCCTTACAGATGCAGCCAAAAACAAAGAGAAGGTATAGAAATTTAAACTATAGTTCCATAAAGATAGGGGATGTCTTCATTTAATAGAGGGGTAGTCTTTATATAAACTTGCCGTAAAGCCGAATTCTCGTAGGATTTGTGCGTTCACAGACACAAGAATCCATCTGGTCACAATGCTGTTAGACCAACCAAAAACAGGTCCACCAAATATGTTTCAGTGTTATAGTTTAAGTTTGGACAAATCAGATAAATATGGCAGTGAAAGAGGATGTATGCATAGTTTCTACCATTACCTCAGTTTGTCAGAATCCATGATCTAATTTTTGAGAGACGAAGAGATGGCATGAGCGCTACAAGCAGAAGTCTTTATTTCTGATTGTATCTGTTGCTATTCATTAAATTCAGTTTATTTATATAGCTTGTATTCACAACACATGTCATCTCAAAGCACTTTACAGAGACGATTCAACTAGATCATACAGTCAAATTGATTAAAAGTTTTCTAAGAAAACCAGTTGATTGCATCGACTCATTGACACAAAGGCAATCCCCTTACTCCAAGCATGCTTGTAGCAACAGTGGAGAGAAAAACTGCCTTTTAACAGGAAGAAACCTCCAGCAGAACCAGGCTCAGTGCGAGCGGTCATCTGCTGAGGCCGACTGGGGTTCAAGGAGACAGAAGCAGACATACAGAAAGAAGCAGAGATACCAAAGTTAACTTTCTACCAGCTCCACAGACGACGTCGTCTGGGAAACACACAACCTGGCAGACGAGCTCCGAGCCAGCTGCAATGTCAGGGGGTGAAGAGAGCTCATACAGCCAGTCACAGTCAGAGAAACAGAACTACACTGAAAAAAAACAGGCTGAGCTCAAACATCCATAAGCAAAGGTGTCAATGGCGGCAGCACAGCTGATATTTAATTCCAGGATGGAGTCACAGCCAAACAGGAACAGACCAGATGAAGATACTATGAAGAAAAGCACAGAGAGCATAGTGTTAGAGATTGAACTAACAAATACTGACGAGTGGGAGAATAGAGATAGAATGAAGCAGAATTTAATGTTACCATGATTGCCTGACAATCAAACTTTAGAAGGCGAGCTCGAGATGTCACTCCGTCCAATCAGCATGGAAGGTTCTGCTGAATGTCCCTCTTTTTCCAAAACAGATTAGTTAGAAGCAGTCCCGGATTAATAATTTATACAATTATACCTGAGTCTAACATTATCCATCTGGCTTCCCAAGCTAGGCCTTTATATACAATCATGAAAAAGAAATAAGTAAATCAAGTTTACATGTTGGGAGTTTACCGTTAGCTCACTGCGACTTGGCTTTCTCTCTCAGGTCTACATCATTGGACATGTTCCTCCAGGTTTCTTTGAGAAGAAAAGAAGTAAAACTTGGTTCACAGAAAAATTCAACCAGAGATATTTGGAAGTAATTCAGAAGCATCATTCCATCATAATTGGGCAGTTCTTCGGCCATCATCACACTGATAGCTTTCGCATGTTCTACAGCACAGAGGGTGAGAAACATCGTTCATCTGTAACTCAAATGTATTTCCTTATAATTGTTTCATTGAAACCCGGTGTCTCCAGGTCAGCCCATTAGTACAATGTTTCTCAGCCCGGGAGTCACACCATGGGAAACAACACTTCCTGGAGTTGTGGATGGCGCTAACAACCCTGGGATTCGAGTCTTTGAGTATGACACTGAAACATTGTTGGTGAAAGTAAGTAACAGTCACACAAAAATAGTTTCAAAGGGTCTTTGTTTGCACATGTTTAGGGGTAATATGCTCTCCAGAAAAGACTTCACATGCTCACGTCTTTATGCTTTGTACTGTCTTGCAACCCCAATGTGTGAACAGGATGTGGTGACATATTATCTGAACCTCACACACGCCAATGCAGAAACAGAGCGCTGGGAGAAAGAGTACCGCCTCACAGAGAGCTTCAGGGTACCAGACGCCTCTCCAGCCTCCATGCACCAGGTTCTGGAGCTCATGGCAACCGACAGCTGCTACCTGCAAAAGTACTACGAGTTTAACTCTGTCAGCTATGATCTGAAAGAGTGCGACGGCGACTGCCGTGTTGACCATGTATGTGCAGCAAGGGAAGTAGACTTTGAGAGGTATGAACAATGTCTGGTGAAGGAAGGAGCCGTCTCCATGTATGGAGGGCTGCTGCTGGTCATTTCTATGGCAGCAACAGGAATGCTAGCTGGATGGTAGAGATGATCAGCATCAAAGTTGGTTATCTAAAACATTTCATACAGACAGTTCATCCCACTTAATTTATATATCATTAAAAAGCTCATGTTTTTAACTATTCAATCCAAAAATCAATCCATCTATCTATGCATCTCAGGTGTGTCTTTTCATTATTTTGATTATTGCTAATAACCCAGTCATTGTCCTGTTACATCAGGTCATTGCTTAAGAAGATGGTTGTTCACAATGCGCTGTATTCAACCACATCATTCCATGGTTCTGGGGGAAGCTACGTTTTTTATGATGATGTCCATGTTCCTGTATTAGGTAGATGGGCTGTAAAATGCATTACTGGAAGAAAGTTTTGAACTAGAGCAGATAAATCTTCACGTGAAATGAAAACATGAACTGGGAAAGTGTAGCTTTAGGAAACATTTTGATTGCAGCGCCTGGACAATGTAAAAGAAGTTTTACGTGAAACGTCTTGTTGAATGAATGTTTAGTTTCAGTTTTTTCTGCTATCTATTAAATATATTGTAGCTATAAATGTAATTTATTGAGTTTTTAAATAAAAACCTCTCTTTTCACTAGGATTAATTGGTACAAAACTCTTTTGCAAAACCTTATGATGTTTTCTCCCCAAAAACCTTTGAACTTCATTTGGATGAAAGAAAAAATAAGAGAAACCAAGTAAATACTGTTACTTGTGCATAAATTAAAAATACATTCTGTTGATTGAGTTGCAACGTCATGAGTTGAATTTTTTTAAAACCAGAATCTGTTGCTGAGCAGTACAGATAAAATGTAATCTAGGTTTCTTACCTACTCTTATCTTTTATGTTCAAATAAAGGTTTAATGGACTCTTCATTACTGCTTGTAAGCGAGACAACAAAGTATATGATTGTGACATAGAATGACAGACAGCAAACTTTGAGCCTGACGAGAACGCACTTTTATTGAGCTCATAACTGGTTTACATAACAACGATAAAGCATCATGTGTCTTAGGTTTCACTTGCGTTTACACAAAGATGACACCACAATGTGGTGACTGAATGATGAGAGCAAAATTTTCACATAATTAGGACTTGTTTACTGGAAGCAAAAGGCTGCATGGCTGCTTCCAGAGCCTTCTGATAGTCTTGTAGATGCACCTCTGAGCAGGAAGGAGCTCTTAGCTTCCCCTGCTGGATAAGAGAGCAAAGTTCATCCAGCATGGCTCTAAACGGCCTCCCATCTAAGGGGAAACAAAAACAAAAAACAGCATCTCTAAACTTGTTCTTTTTTAAACAATCGTGATGCTTTATTATCACTTTACACATCAGTTAACACGCCTGCTCACCATGAGCGTGATCTTTCTTCCACTGCGTAACCCAAAAACCACACACTTTGACGTCCTTGAAAATAAGAGCACTCTGGAGACACCACATTTAGTTAGTTAAAACATGGAAGTAATCTCTCAAATATTCAATCAACAGCTATAACTACTGGATTACAGACAGCTACGTGTTTAAAGTATCTGTGCCCCTCAACCTTTACACAGTCTGTCACCTAAAAGCAACAAGCATTGATCTATTCTAGTGGGATTTGATAGAACAAGAAGTTTGAAAAGGATATGCTATAATAATCTGTTATCCAATGCAACTACAGGCTATTTAGATCACTTCATTATTAAGGAGAGTCCATCTGTGTTTGATTTACTCCATGTATAAATTTACAGTTTCTGTGAAAAAATAAAATCCTGTAGTAAACAGCATTTTATAAAATTGCTAACCAACCACGTGAAAACTATCCACCAAAACTGGCAAAGGATAGCATTACCAATAAAACATTCAGCCAAGGGTCCTACGGCAGCTTTATGGACAACTGTGAAGTCCTGGTGGCGGTTTAACACGGACAGTATGGATGAAATGACAAATATGTGGGAGAAGGTGGCTTGAAACTAACATTGCACATCCCCCTGAACACAGCATTCCCATAATGAAACAGGGGATTGAGAGTGTCAAGGACAGAAAGGCTGGAAAGCATTTACAGGAAGCTAATTTTACAAGAGGAGGTTGTGAGGTTCACTTTTACCAGGATAAGGATCCTAAACACAGCCAGGCTTGAAGAGCAACGGTTTAGACTGAAGGTTGTTTTAGATGGCTCTGTTAATGTCCAAACTCATGCAAATAGATTATCTGTCACAAAACCTGTAAAAACAAGTATTTAAGGACCCCCAATCATTTACTCAGACTGATCGTTAGCCATTTTGGTGGATAGAAAGCGTTCTACAAATTTCAGATTTTGTTTATATTTAATTCCTTTTTAATATTATCCACTATCACAAAATATTCAGATAAAATACAAGGTGACAAAATGTGAAAATGTTTAAGAGGTATTAATACTTTTTGCAAGGAACATTTATTTGTTTTCTTACCACAGGGACAGTCACTGGCTGTTTAGACATTCCACCATATGTCACCATAGATCCTCCTACTCTAGAAACAGTAACAGTCATAGAGAAAGGGGAAATAAAAGGTTCTTTTACAAACCTTAAAATGTTATGCAAAATAAAAAAAAAAAAAAGCTGTTTAAAAAGCTCACTGTAGATGACGCAGCAGTTCTGTTGCACTCTTCCCTCCAACTCCATTTAAAGCCAATTTAGGCTTTGAACATGTCTGTGAAAAAAACCCAAACAAACCTGTAAACAGTAGGGCAAATCACATGGCCACATATCTTTATCTTTTGCTTATCTTCAGGGCAACACCTTAAAAAGTTCCCTCATCTCAGGTCGCCTAAGACTCTCTTCTTTGATGACATAACTGGCCCCCATATCCTTCAGCCTGTCACTAAGCTGTGTGAAATCTGGTCTTTAAAGAGGATGATGGACAGAAGAGAAAAAATAAGGTTAAAAAAAGAAAAAAAATTCATAAAGGTGATAATGTTGTTTGGAATCTCATTAGGGTTCTTAAGAGGCATGTTATGCATTCAGATTTAGCATTTCTCACAGAGTAAAATAAAGAGTTTATCACAGTTGACTGAGCTCACCTGTCTCGAATAACATTTATAGTGTTTATTCCTCTTGCTGCAGCAATCTGTATGACAGCCTGTCCAACTCCACTGTTGGCTGCATTCTGAATCACAGAGTCACCTATAAGGGAAGCAAGGACTCCTCTAAAGCCTGTTTTATCGTAAGCGCATGTTTGATAGTTCAACTTAAGGCTTAAACGTTTAGTAAAGTAAAAACATTTTGACTGTGTGGCAAAGCTTGCCTGGTCTAAGATCTTCAAAGTCAGAGAGCATTCTGAAGGCAGTACAGGGATTCACTCCCAGTGTGGCAGCAGAGAGCAGAGGAATGTTGTTTGGCACTGAGATAACATCCTCTTCAGCTAACACTGCCTCTGTCCTCCATGTCCCTGCTCACATAAAGCAAAACCACGTTGAAAGGACAATGTAGAATGAAAAAGTTTTCTTTTAAATAAAGACATTCGTATGGTTTAATTTACCGAGCCCTGCATCTCTGGGGATGACCCAGTCCCCTGCTTTAAGAGACTTCACCTGACTGCCCACTTCTATGACCTGGCCCACGCCCTCATTGCCCCCAACAGCAGGAAGGTCTGGCAGGATTGCATATGTACCTAAAACCACAGAAACCCACAAAAATAATATTTCTTTGTTTTTGTAGTCAGAAATTAGGTATAGTATATTTTTGTTGATGCATTATGTGGATTAAAACCAACAAAGCAAAATTACCCTGAATCATGTTAATGTCAGATGGATTAATTGGAGATGCCAGGAGTTTAACCAGAACTTCCTTTGCACCTGTTTGGGGGACGGGTACATGCTCCAACCTGATGAATGAAATATACATATATTTGAAACATCATTCAAATGGAAACCAAGAAAGAAAAACACAAATAACGGTGCAGATCTTATTTCATTTTAAAGAGAATAACAGGATAATCAAGAAAGCTATATATATTTAAAAAAAAATCTTAACCGCATGTATCCTTTGTAAAAAAAAAAAGAAACCTTTTTTTTTTTTTTTTTTTTTAAACGTTACTGAAAAGAAAGTCTTTGGTACAACTCTTACAAGGGAAAACTCAAATAATAAGTAAAGGGGAACTTTCTACAGCAAAGATTAAGAACATAGGAGGTTAAAGGCCATGATATCCGTCAGTGACTTCACCTAGAGCTTTCTCTAGTAAACAAATAAAGAATACAGTCAGTTCATGACTGTAATAGCTCCCTACAGGACAAACACAGCACTGAATCAATGTTACTTTCTATAGGAATGAAAGAGGAAACAGTTGAACACAATGGTATCTATTGCTTTCTGGGGTTTAGTTTTGACCTACGCTTACTATTTACTGCCCCCATGGCCTTAGAAGGAGAACATAAGTTAAACAAATGCAGTCTTTCTTTTACACTCAAAATAAAATAGTCTGTAAAGTGAAATTGGAAAGAGCAAAGATGGATTCATTGCAGTCATTTTCAAAATACATTGAGACAGGAGTTTAATATAATAAATCCAACTGAATGGACTCAATTGAAACAATGGGTAAAGTAAACACAAGACAGACAATGATCAAACAGACTTGTTAAATGATTTTGCAGTCAGGTTTAAAGGATGAACAAATTATATAAATGTTCATATAACAGATGAAATGTTTTCCGTTTATTTTGATAATTTTGACAATCACGAGGCTAATGTGGGAGTCAGTAAGTAGGCCGGCATCTGCCCATGACCGGCCCGCAAAACGGTTTTATCACTGGGGGAAAAACATTCACCACAACCGGTGCTTCCTCAGGGGTTTCCCGTATGAGAACCTCGGTGGACAAGTGAGACAGCCGAGTGATGAAAGAAAACAAAAACCACAGAGGGGTGAGATATTTCCGGTTTGCAGCAGGTGCTTCTGATGAGGCTTTAGTTTCATTTGACAAAGTATTCGAGAGGGGATTCCAAAAGAAAATGTTTTCTGAACGATGCAAAATATATGTCTTTATTAATATAATAATATATTTGAAGCTTGTTAAGACACATATTCTTACTGAACGACTTGAGAAGGGTCTCCGTTTTTGCAGTAGATCAGAGCTTGACAAGTCTGGGCGCTGCGTCCAGCTGAATGACTGAAGTGGTTAACGTTAGCCTCTCTGTGCTTTGAACACTTTAACAAAGCCACGACACAGCCACTTTTAGCGACTACTCGCTTTCTCAAACCCACCGAAAGTACTGGAAACCACATCTTGACACAGAAGACGACGTTAAATTTAAAAAATAATGAATTATTTTTAATTGTAGCTGTAATATAGCTACAAAGTAGCATAAGAAAGCAAGTTCAGCGTGATGGCGGCGGCCATGTTTGTTTAGTATGAAGTTTTTGTTGTCACTGGAGATAGCGAGGACAGTGCCCCTGGTGGATTAACGCTGTACTACAGTTGACAAATATAATATTTGTTGCCACAAATCCTTACACTACTGTCTATTTCCTACATATATAGCAATGAAATACAGTGGGTAAAAAAAAAAAACACGCACTGTAATAATCCAAACCTTAAAGCTGCATGATAGATATTTAAATTACTCAAGAAAGTACTTACATTTTATGTCAGCAGTGGCAATCTTTACAGCGGTCTATATGGATAGTTGGCCAGGGCCGGACTATCCATATAGGCTGGGGAAGCCTATGTACCAGATATTAAAATGGAATTTATCTTCCAGCTGTGTCATGAAAAAATGTCCAGTGCTTTTATTGA